TTTTTTAATTAAAAAAATTGGGGGGAGCCACTTCCAGCAGCACTAATTCCTGGCTCTGCACTCAAGGGAACATAGGGGTGCTGGGGCTCAAACCTGGGTCAGCTGCATGCAACAAATCTCAAATTTACTGGCAATCTCAAGGAATAGGGGGAGTAAGACTTCAAAAAATAGGGGGAGTAAGAATTCTTATGTTTGTTTCTAGTTTCCTTTTTTCTGGTTAAGAAGTGTCTCTTGGGGCTGGAGTGATAGCACAGTGGGTAGGGCGTTTGCCTTGCATGCGGCCGACCCAGGTTTGATTCCCAGCATCCCATATGGTCCCCTGAGCACCGCCAGGAGTAACCCCTGAGCATTGCCGGGTGTGACCCAAAAAGCAAAAAAAAAAAAAAAGTCACGTCAGACTCAAAAGACAACTTATACTATAACTATGTTTATTTGTTTATTTTGGTTCTCTGTCCCTCTCGGAGAGCCCGGCAACCTACTGAGAGTATCTCACCCACAAGGCAAAACCTGGCAAGCTACCCGTGACGTAGTCGATATGCCAAACACAGTAACAAGTCTCACAATGTTACTGGGTCCGCTCGAGTAAATCGATGAACAACGGGAGAACAGTGATGGTGACAGTGTTTACTTTGGTAGTGTCAGGAATTGAATCCAGGGGTTCATATATGTAAGGCAAGTACTCTACCACTGAGTGATTTCCCAACCCTCTCATTACATTTTTGGTGTGGGGAGGCGCACCTGGTGATGCTCAGGGGTTCCTCCTGGCTTTGTGCTTAGGAATCACTCTGGCAGTGCTCAGGGAGAGCATATGGGATGTCAGGGATCAAACCCAGGTTGACCACATATAAGGCAAGCATCCTACCTGCTGTACTATCACTCTGGCTACTGTTTTTATTTATTTGTTTGTTTTTGGGCTACACCCAACGATTCCAGGAGATGTTCAGTGGTTACTCCTGGCTCTGCACTCAGGAATTACCCAGGTGGTGCTCAGGGACCATATGGGATACTGGGGATTGAACCTGGGTCAGTTGCATGCAAGGCAAGCACGCTACCCGCTGTACTATCTCTCTGGCTCCTCTCATTACCTTTATAATCTGGCCCTATTCTACTCAAGAATGAAGCACTTGACTAAAGATTTAGCAAGACTAGAGGTTAGAAATATTAAGGATTTAGAAAAAGCAGAGATGGCATTTGCTTCGTAACAGTGGCATGAACATATTTGTTTTGGGGCCATATGTGGTGGTGCTTGGGACTTAATCCTGACTCTGCACTCAGGGATCACACCGAGTAGGGACCAAATGTGTTACTGGAGATTGAACCTAGGTGGGCTGCATACAAGGCAAGTACCTTACCCCCTGTGTTCTTTACAGCCCCATATCTTTATTATTTTTAAATTCTTGCAAAACTGCAAAAGAACTATATTTTATTTTATTATTTAAATTTATTTTATTTTTTGTTTTTGGGGTCACACTCAGTGGTGCTCAGGGAGCACTCCCGGTAATGCTCAGGGAATCATATGTGGTGCCAGGGATTGAACCTATACTAGTGATCTAGTCCTATTATTATTATTATTATTATTTTAATTTTTATTAGTGAAACACCATGAGGTACAATTGTAGACTTACAATTTTTTGTGCTTGGGTTTCAATTATACAATGATCAAATACCCATCCCTCCACCAGTGCCCATTCTCCACCACCACGGGTCCCAGTATCCCTCGCACCCCCCGCTCCCCCCATTCCACCCTGCCTCTGTGGCAGGGCATTCCCTTTTGTTCTCTCTCTCCTTTTGGGTGTTGTGGTTTGCAAAAGAGGCATTGAGTGGCAGTCATGTTTGGTCTATAGTCTACTTTCAGCAGTATCATTATTATTTCTAAAGTAATTTTTAATTTGTTTTTGGGCCATAGTTGGAGATGCTCAGGGATTACTCCTAGCTCTGCACTCAGGAGTAACACCTGTCAGTACTCAAGAGACCATTTGGGATGCTGGGGATAAAGCCTGGGTTGGCCATGTGCAAGGCAAACACCCTACCCTCTGTATTGCTCAGGTCCCTAAAGTAATTAAAATATTTTTATTATTAAAAAATAAATGTTTGGGGCTGGAGCGATAGCACAGCGGGTAGGGCATTTGCCTTGCACGCGGCCAACCCGGGATCGTTCACCGGGAGTAATTCCTGAGTGCATGAGCTAGGAGTAACCCCTGTGCATCACCAGGTGTGACCCAAAAAACAAAATAAATAAGGTAAAGGTAAAGGTAAAGGCCCTCCCGTTGATCGTCAATTTGCTTGAGCGGGCCCAGTAACGTCTCCATTGGAGACTTTGTTGTTACTGTGTCTGGCATATCGAATACTCTCGGTAGCTTGCCGGGCTCTCCGAGAGGGGCGGAGGAATCGAACTCGGGTCGGCCATGTTGGCCGCTTGTAAGGCGAACGCCCTACCCGCTGTGCTATAATGTTTTAATCGAATTCCTGTGTGATAAAGAGTTATAAAGTTGTTCATGATTGAGTTTCACTCACACAATGGGCACCCCTAAAGCAATTTTTTAAGGCACCATGATTTACAAAGTTATTCATACTTGAGTTTCAAAAACATAATGTTTTGGTATCAATTCCACCACAGAGTCAACTTGCCTTCACCAATGATGGCAGGTTTCCTTCCAACCCCAATTTTTCACCTTTTCAGGAACATTGTTGGGTTTGGTTGTTGTAGTTTAGATCTCATGAATTCAGTGTTGTTGGCTCTGTGGGTCAGATATATAAATATACCACATCTCTACCTTGATGATGTGTCAGAGGCTTCTTCTGACTCCCTCATTTGATTCCTTCCCTATTCTAATTTTGATCATCTAGGGGCAGAGATAATTTGGAGCTTAGGAACTCCTCTTATACCTTCTACTCCCTCATCCTGTTATACTATGTACCACAGACAAGTGAGATTATCTGGTGTTTGTCCATATAATATTCTGACTCATTTTGCTTATTATGGCATCCTCTAGTTCAAATCAAGTTGCAGTGAATTACAATATTTTTTCCCTTACTTGTAGTTACATAGTATTTCATTGTGTATATATACCACACCTTCATTATCTATTCATCATCATTGGATACCTGGGTTGATTCCATAGTTTAGTTATTGTGCTAAGTGCTGTAGTGATTAACTGTGTGCATACATGCTTTTGAATGAGTGTTTTTGTGCCCTGGGGCCCTGGGGTTATTTTATTATTTTTCAGTTTTCTCTCCCCTCCTACTTTTTCTTTATTGTTGTTGCTATCGTGATGATTGAGGGTTGTACATACTTAGTGGTGGTGCTTGAACATTTTTAGCTGTGATGTGTGTGAGGGATGGCACATCACCTTGTGGTAACTTGCACATTTGATCTCACCAACGTTTGCACTTTTTATTTTTTTTAACCACACTTTTCTGTGCTCAGGGGTCACTCCTCGTGGTGCTTGGGGGACCACATGTGGTCTGGGCATCAAATTGGGGTCAGCTGTGTGCAAAGCAAGACCCTTACCTGCTGTACTCTCACTCAGGTCAGTAACTAGTGTTTTTTTGTTTGTTTGCTTTTTGGGTCACACCCGGCAATGCACAGGGGTTACTCCTGGCTCTGCGTTCAGGAATTACCCCTGGTGGTGCTCAGGGGACCATATGGGATGCTGGGAATCGAACCCGGGTTGGCCGCGTGCAAAGTCAAGTGCCCTAGCCGCTGTACTATTGCTCCAGCCCCAGTAACTAGTGTTTTGGGCCAGAGATAGTGGTGCTCAGAACTTACTCTTGGCTCTTCTTTCAGGGATCACTTCTGGCTGGCTCAGGGGACCATAGGTGGCGCTGGAGGTGGAACCTGGGTCAGCGGTGCAAGGCAAAGGCTCTACCTGCTAAACTATCCCTAAGGCTTCGAGTTTCACTCTGAGCTCAGGGATCGCTTCTGACCGGCTCCACATGGCACCATATGGGTTGTAGGTGATGGAACCAGAGTGGGCTGGTCCAAGGCAAACCTGCTGTTATCATTAACTTTTTTAGAGCGGTCTGGGTTTTGGCCACACCCCTTGGCATTCTGTGCTACTCCAGCCTCAATGCTAAAGAGTCCCTCTCAGTGATGTGGAGGAGGGGACCATGGGTGTCCAAGGACTGGGGATTCAGGCATGCAAAGCACGTATTCCAGCCCAAAGAGCGATGTCCCCAGCCCTATCAGTGTGATTTCCCCCTCCTAGCATAGTAATGTTTCATAGCCTCGGGTTCCTGTGCATGAAGTCCTCATAAATCTCATAAAAATGCGTATTTTTTCATATAAAGGAATGCAAGGCAAAGGCCCTACCTACACTCTCTCCGGGCCCTTTTAAAGGTCTTTCCTTCCTTCCTTCCTTCCTTTTTTCTTTCTTTTCTTTCTTTCTTTCTCTCTTTCTCCGTTTTTTGGGGGCCACACGTGGCTCAGAGATTCACTTCTGGAGGTACTTAGGGGATCATACGGGTGCCAGGATAGAATCTGGTTTGGCAGCCCGCAAGCCTTACCCTCTGTTCTGCCGTCACGACCCCCTTAAAGGGTGATTTTTCTTCCCTGCCTGGTTCTTTCCACCTCGGCTTCTTACCCATACATTTTATATATTGTTTTATTTTTTTGCTTTTTGGGCCACACCCAGCGAGCGATGCTCGGGGGTTCCTCCTGGCTCTGCACTCAGGAATTACTCCTGTCGGTGCTCAGGGGACCACATGGGATGCCGGGGGGTTGAACGCGGTCGGCCGTGCGCAAGGCAAACGCTGTACTATCTCTCCGGCCCCTTACCCATACCCATACATTTTAAAAAGAGGAAACTGCTGAATCTTAACCTAGATTTGGGAGGTCAAAGCCATCTACGGTGCACAAGGGTCAAATTCCTTCAAATTGGGAGGCTTCCGATTCCTCTGGAGGAGGAACAGAACTCCTTAACCACACACAAGGCCGAAGGCGATCGAGGCTGGAACGCAGCGGAACCGAGCGAAACGGCCCTTGGGTTTCTGTCCCCGAGAGCTGTGCGGGAACCGGCGTCGCGGGCCGAGGGCGTGGAACTACATCTCCCGACGGGCGGCGGTGCCGGCTCCCCGCCGCCCCCCGCCGGTCCCGAGCCCTGGCAACGGCGTGACGTCGGGGCCGGGGAGCTGCGGCGCGGCGGCGAGCGCCCTCAGTGCCGGAGCGCCCGAGCGCCGGGGCGGGACGCGGCTCCTGCGCTCCGAGGCCCCGAGCCGGCCGCGCGCCGCGGGCTGCTGCCCTCGCTCCGCTGGGTCGCGGCGGCGGCGGTCGCCAGCGGGGTCGAGCGCCGAGAGCGGGCGAGGGGCGCGCGCATGGCCTCGGCGGGCGCGCGCGCGGCGGCCCAGCGCTGCTGCAGCCTCCAGCTGCGCCCGGGCGCGCGCACGGCCCCGCCCCCGGGCCCGGCGCGGCCAATGAGGTGAGTGGGAGGCGCCGGAGTCCTGGTGGCCGGGTGAGGGTCTACTCCCAGGGACCCCAAGTTGCCCCGTGCGGGTGCGCGTGGGGGCGGGTAACAACCCTGGGATGGAGGCGGGGCCCGGAGTGGGGGGCCGCGGCAGTCGTGCCCGTGGAGTTTTGCAGGTTATCCGCGAGGGGAGGCCCCCGGGAGTGGGGGCCTGAGCCCCTCGACTCGGGAGGAGGGCGCTCAGTTAACTGCAGGCTTTGTCGCTCTGGCGCCCGGAGATGCTCCCCGAGCACCTAGCTTTCAGTGCTAGCGTGGCCCCTGGCCCAGAGCGACAGGCGCCTCTTACGCACCCGGCGATTTCCCATCCCCCCTCCCCCACCCTGTCCTCAGCCGCCCTCGACCTTTCACACTCGTGACTGCCTGGCCAGGGAGCCTGGCTGGGCGGCTGCAGCTGCTGGGGGAAATCTTGTCTGGACAGTCCTTCCCTGGAACGCGCCCTCCTGCCTTTCAGCTGAGAGTAGTTGAGGAACCTAAAGAATTGTGACTTTCTTTCTTTCTTGCTTTAGATTTCCAACCTCCAGCAGCCTCCTCTTGCCCCCGACTGCCTGGGTCTTGGCGGCTAAGACTGGTCCTCTGCCCAGGCGCTCCTTTATGGGCTTTGCTGCCCCCTTCACCAATAAGAGAAAAGCTTACTCAGAGCGCAGGATCATGGGGTGAGCATCCTTCATTGCCCTACGTCCCTCCACATAATCTTTCCAACAGATAATTGTGTCTAGCTAGCACGTAATGGGAAATTGTGATTCATTCATTCCTGGGCAGTCTCCTAACCTGTATCCTCTCCTTTATTTTCCCCAGCCAGCCTTCCAACCTGAGTTTCCCTGGTCTTTGCTGATGTGCATATGCATTAAGTGATAAAGGACTAGAGTTGGGCAATCTAAGAGTGTTGTCTGTTTCCTGAGCTAACACTTGTCGAGCACTTATTTCTGCTAATAGATCGATGGCTTAGGTGTTTTACATAGATTTCTCATTTGATCCTCTCTACAAACTTATGAACTAGGTACTTTAATCACCCATGATGATTAGAACATGGACACAGGTTAATTTATCTTGCACACAGACAACCTGGATCCCCAGAACCACATCTCGTTCCCTGCAGCCCTATCAGGAGAGACCCCCTGGGAGAAGAGCTAGGAATAAAGCCTGAGCACCATTAGGTATAGCCCAAAACCTTCACGTACCCTCTCACCCCGGGCCCCAATTTGGGTGAGCAAGTACAAAGTGCAAAGTTTAAGGTGCTTGCTTTGCATGATGCTGACCCCATATGGTTGCAAGAAACCCACAGGAGTGATCCCCTGAACACACAGTGAGGAGTAAACCTTGAGCACAGCCAGGTGTCACCCAATCCTGCACCCCCTAAGGGCCCTACTTCCTCTCCCCCCCCAAAAAAAAAGTAGGTCTGAGATCCTTCTGTGATCACAGGTCACAAGAAAAATGGGCAGTTTCTGTTTTCCCTGAGATGGTCTGTTTTAGGATTAAATAACTAGTGCAGTGCTCGCTTCGGCAGCACATATACTAAAATTGGAACGATACAGAGAAGATTAGCATGGCCCCTGCGCAAGAATGACATGCAAATTCGTGAAGCGTTCCATATTTTTAAGATGAAGTCATGAAATTTACATACAAGTGGTACTACATGGAAAGTATCATGCTAAGCGAAATGAGTCAGAAAGAGAGGGATAGACATAGAAAGATTGCATTCATCTGGGGAACATAAAGTAACAAAATAGGAGACTAACACCCAAGAGTGGCTGAGATTAATACCAGGAATTTTGCTCCATGGCTTGGAGGCCAGCCACACATGCTAGGGGAAAAGGGAGCTCAGATAGAGAAGGGAGCACCAAATAAAAGGTGTTGGGAGGATCCTCCCAGGATGGGAGAAGTATGCTGAAAGTAGACTATAGACCAAACATGATTGCCACTCAATGCCTCTTTTGCAAACCACAGCACCCAAAAGGAGGAAGAGAACAAAAGGGAATGCTCTGCCACAGAGGCAGGGTGGGATGGGAGGATGGAGGGTGGGAGGGATACTGGGACCCGTGGTGGTGAGAAATGGGCACTGGTGGAGGGATGGGTACTCGATCATTGTATAACTGAAACCCAAGCACAAAAATTTTTAAGTCTACAACTGTACCTCATGGTGTTTCACTAATAAAAAAAAATAACTAGTGCAAAAAAAATCCTGTAAACTGCAAAGCAGCAATAGCTTCTGTGTGTTTGCAGAGTAAGTCATTCCTGCAGGTTTATTTGGGACCTGTAGTTCCTAAAGGTGGTTAGTAGGTATTGGTATGGGGGAATAAAGGGCATGCCTAGGACGAGGAACTAACCGTCTGGCAGTTCCTTGGCCTCTCTGTGATTCCTTTCCCTAGGTACTCAATGCAGGAGATGTTCGAGGTGGTGTCCAATGTTCAGGAGTATCGTGAGTTTGTCCCCTGGTGTAAGAAGTCTACTGTGGTATCCAGCCGCAAAGGTCACCTGAAGGCCCAGCTGGAGGTTGGCTTCCCACCTGTCTTAGAACGTTACACCTCTGCTGTTTCCATGGTCAAACCTCACATGGTAAAGGTGAGCTCTGAGGATGTCAGTTTTTTGTGTTCTCTGGCACTTTCATGCTTGTTTTTGGGCCACACCTGGCTTTGCTTTGCACTCAGGGACCACCCCTGGTGGGCTTGGGAGACCATATGTAGTGCCAGGGATTGAACCTTGGCCACTGTACTATTGTCAGGCCCTATGCACTTCTATACTATAGGGCAATTTTGGTCCTTGTAGTAATTTTTTTCCCACATGTCAAGTATTTCCCCATTAGAGGAAAAAATGCCTTCCAAGACTTTCTATACTACATAAATATATGTATGTATATATATATATAATCCCATTTTAGTATTTAACTACTTGACTGCCTCGTTCTAGGCCGTTTGCACTGACGGTAAGCTCTTCAACCACTTAGAGACCATTTGGCGATTCAGCCCCGGTATTCCTGCCTACCCCCGGACTTGCACAGTGGATTTTTCGGTGAGTTGTATAGCACAGCACTGGGCTCCAACTGGGTGTGGGGGCAAAGCTGGGTGTTGAATCCAGGTCTCATGCATACTGGCATGCACTTTCCCAGTTAGCCATATCCTCAGCCCGTTTTCAATTTAAAAAAGAGGTGGGTTGTATTGAGTTCATACTACAGTGCCCAGGGGTTATTCTTGGCTCAGTGCTCACTCATGGCTGTGCTTGGGGAGGACCATTTGGTGATCGGGATTGAACGGGTTAGCTGTGTATAAGGCCTTAACCCTTGTACTTTCTGGCCTCTGACCTTAGAGTGTATTTTATTTTTCGGGGCCGTTTTGGGCCACACCCAGCATGCTCAGAGGCCTGTATGAGATGCTGGAGATGAAACTTGGGTCAGCCTTGTGCAAGGCAAGCATTCTGCCCACGTACTATTGTTCTGGCCCTAGAGTGAGTCTTTAAATACTGCTAGCACTTAGCATTTCTCAAGTCAGTGACTGGTCTGACTTATATTAAACTTTCCTAAGCTCAGCTCTAAATTAATACCTTTTTTTTGTTTTGTCTTGGACCACACCTGGTAATGCACAGGGGACCACATGGGATGCTGGGAATTGAACCTGGGTCGGCCCGTGCAAAGCAAAAGCCCTACCTGCTATGCTATTGCTCCAGCCCCTAAATCAATGCTTTGAAGAAAGGGAAAAACTCCTTATAGCTAGCCAAAGTCTATCCCATATGGTTTTGAAGAATTTGTTTCTTCCCCATTCCCAGATTTCCTTTGAATTCCGTTCTCTACTGCACTCCCAGCTGGCCACCGTGTTTTTTGATGAAGTCGTCAAAAAGAACGTTGCTGCCTTTGAGCGCCGAGCAGCTACCAAATTTGGTCCAGAAACAGCCATCCCTCGTGAACTGATGCTGCATGAAGTGCACCAGACTTGAGGCAAACAATTAGCCTCTCCCTCTCCTGCCGTCACACCCGTTCTCTTATTTATTTCATTTTGCGCCTGCTCCAGTTTGCGAGAAGGATCTGGAACCAAGTTGGTTGGACAAACTAGGGCAAAGGCCAAGGTAGGGGAAGGACATACACTTCAGGAAGGTTCACAAGAACCCTGATACCTGCAACCTTCTCGCTGAATTACGGCCAGGACTGAGTAGTCTGGGCCCTGTTGAGGTGCCTTAGCGTCTAATTAGGAGAACATAGGAACTCTCCTAAGGACTGAGTAACTGAGCCCTTTTCTCTGACAGAGCTACAAGGCAGTCAGTAACTTTAACCTGCCTGAGATTTGCTCCAGCTTAAAATCCATAGGATCTTAAATTTCCGCGCTGCCTGCCTCCTGAGTCATTTTCACCAAAAGTGCCACAGGGTTGACAAGCACTGACCAGGTTGTACCCTTGGATTGTACCTTATTCTTCCACTTGGCTTGAGTTTTTATAAAATGTCAATAAACTGTGTCATGTCAATATGGCTTTTAAATGTTACTGCCTGGGGGGGGGGGGGGGTATTAGATATAGCAGTGTAGCAGAAAGCCGTGGCTTCCTTTCCTGGGGGAATAAAGGCGAATGAAAGCCTTTTGGACCGTGGGTCCCTGCTAACTATAGTAGCACATACTAAAAGCCAGAATCTCACTCTCCCTTGCTGATTTATACTTTTCCAGAAGACCATCTGCAGTAGGAATCTTGGGACAGAATGATCAAACGTTAGGTCTTCCATATAGTCGGTACCCTTAGGACCACCTCTTTGGGGTGGGGTGGCATGTGTCTCCTTTTCAGAGTATGTGCTTCTATAAAAACTGAAGTCCTCTAGCGGCTCTGGTTCAAGGCAGCAGGCAGCCCTCTCCCATTTGTCCTTGATATGTATCATCTGTTCCTTTCACCCAGTGGGCTGAACTGGTTTCCTTGGCTTAGTCACACGAGCAGTTGAGAAGTTTTGGCTATATTCTTTGATGACAAAATTAAGGACAGAATCTAAGGCCAAAGACCTTCAACCTTGATGAAAGACCAAAATCACTTTTAGAAATCTCCCTGGGAACCGTCTTCTGATTAAGTTCAGGATCTTGCTCGCCACATTTCTTACCTCATATCAAGGACTGTTCCAGACTTTATAGAATAACAGGCTCAACAGTTGTTAATAAAAACATTTATTTTGCATTTTTATACAGAACAACCTGAAGTCTGCATTGTGACTTGACAGTTACCCAGGGTTTACAGACAGTGTGTTCATCTCAACAGCATGGTTCTGGGGACTTGGGGGTCCACACAAACATAGGTAGGAGTTGTGAGGGAGAAAGGGGCACAGCAGGAGTGTATTTCAATCCTTTCTTGAAGAAAAGGCAGTAGAGCGGTCTGAGTTGCTGACAACCTGTGCAAACGGGGCTTCTAAAACAGACACTGTACTGTGAGCTTGTGGAGAGGGCAGGATTAGGACCTCCATAAATACAGGGGCACTTTCTCGTGGCAGGGTATGGGAAGGCAGGCTTATTATTCTTAATGCCCTCAGCCCCAGGCTGTGATTCAAAGACCATGTCCAATCTTCAGTCACTTCTCTGTTCCAAAAGGGGCGTAGGTACCCCCTGGGACTAGACCATGCAGGGTATTTCCAAGTCCCTGTTCTATAGCCCACAGTATATAGTAAAAGAAAGGAGAAGAGGAAATCAGTCACAGGTTAGTGGTTTGTACTCTGTGGAAGTTAAGAGCTTAATTCACATAAAGTGCTCAAACCCCAGTGGCTGGGAGAGCCCACAGGTCAGACAGTGGTGTATGTGACTGGCTAAAAAAAGGAGTCAGGTAGGGACCAAGAAGTGAAGATGCAGAACATCCTCAGCTTGAAGTGTAATAGGTACAGAAAGTTGGGAAAGGCATGAGTATTAAAGTAGTAGGAAAAAGAACACTCCCACACCTTAACGTCCATGCAAGAATTAAAAAAAAAAAAAAGTCAAATCAAGCACTAGGTGCCACCTGAATGCCTTGGCCTTTATGGTCACCTGATGGCATTTGGGAGGAAAAAAAGGGTCAAAGCACACCCAACTAACCAACAAACTTTGATCAGAAGCAGCGTCTGTGTGCACAGAGAGGAAATGGGGCTTGGTACAGCTTACAATCCAACATGATTCCTATGAAAATGGCAGAATCCTGGTTTGCTGGCCCATTAAGGGGAGAACCAAAAGCTCTTGACATGACTGCAGATTGTCTGCAACCTGTTTTGTCCCAGGGAAAAGGAACAAGATTCTCTCTAGAGATGGTGGCGGGGCATGGCAAAGCTAACCTGTACCACATGCATTAGTCCTGTTCATCCTACAGTTGATGGGCAACTCTTACCAGGCAGGGAGAAGGAGCTGTTTAGGGAAGGGATCACTTTTTATCTCTTAAAGTTTTAATTTATATTAACCTCAAACTTAGTATCAGTGCCTCAGATACAATTTAATCTTAAGTCTTTAAAGGCCCCCTGAAACAAAAGTATACTTTTTTTTAAGCGCCCTCACTTTCTAGTTGTTTACCCCAGTCTCCAGTTTTACCCTGACTTAGAGTCCACAAACTTCATCAGACCATCCGTGCTCATGGACTTGGGCCTCTCTAGAGGGAAGCCTAAGGCTCGGCTCCAGATGAGCTGTGCCAGTACACCCAGTGCCCGTGACACCCCAAACAGGACCGTGTAGTAATTCATCTCCGTCATGCCGTAGTACTGTAAGGTAAAAAGAAACAAAGCGGTGTTATGCAGGCCCAGAGGGAGTGGCATGTACAAGTCCAGGGCAATAAAACTTTTCTTTTTCTTTTGCTTTTTGGGTCACACCCAGTGATGCTCAGGGTTCAGTTACTCCTGGCTCTGCACTCAGGAATTCCTCCTGGCGAGGCTCGGGGGACCATATGGGATGCTGGGAATCAAACCCGGGTCGGCTGCGTGCAAGGCAAACGCCCTACCCGCTGTGCTATCAATCCAGCCCCTAAAACTTTTAACTCAAACTGTGTGAAATTGGGGTTTGGACCATACCCTATGGTGCTCCAGGTTTACTCCTGGGAGTACTTGGGGGACATGTGGTGCCTAAAATTGAACTAGAGTTGGCCCTGTGGGTGGCCAACGGGTTTAACCCCTGTACCATCTCTCTGGTCCCCAAATCCTGTTATTTTGTTTTTGTGCCACATGTGGTGGTGCTCAGGGCTTACTCCTGGCTCTGTGCTCAGGGATCACTCCTGGCAGTGCTCAAGGAACCATAGGGGCTCGAACCTGGATCGGTGGCATACAAGTCAAATGCCCTACCCACTGTTATTTGTTGTTTTTAAATTGTGGGGGCCATATACCCCGCGGTGCTCAGGGTCCAGGACCACTCCCAGTGAGGATCGGAATACACAGACTGCCAGCGATCAAAACCAGATCCTCACACATGCAAGGCATGTGCTCTACTAATTGGGCACGCCTCCAGTCTAAACAAAGCCAGTATAAAATAAGTCTCAGAAGACAAGGGCTCTTTCCCAGGCTGTGGTTCCTCCCACCATCAAAAGTATAGGGAAGGGTGTATGAGGCCTGCCCTGACGAATAAGGTGTTTTTTGGGGAATGCCAGAGAGCAGTAGAATTTCATACAAATTAGAAGGCAGGGGAGCAGAGGACTCACCTGGAGCAGCACCCCACTGTGAGCATCAACATTGGGCCAAGGGTTCTTGGCCTTGCCCTGTTCTAAGAGAACATTGGGCACAATCTTGTACAGCTGAGCAACTAGCTTGAACATGGGGTCTTGAGGCAGATGTTTCAGAGCGAACTCCCGCTGACAGGTATAGCGCGGGTCTGTCTTTCTTAGGACAGCATGGCCATAGCCTGGGACAACCTGCAACAAGAAGAAAACAAACAAGTTAAATTCTCAGGTTAAAATGATTTTTTTTTTTTTTTGGCTTTAGTGCAGCAGTGCTCAGGGATCATTCCTGATGGGGCTCAGGAGACTATATGAGATGCTGGCATCAAACCTATGCTGGTCACATATAAGGCAAATGCCCTCCCCTCTGTACTATCTCTTTGGCCCCTCAGGTAGAATTTCTTATGTTTTTGGCTACACCTGGCAGTGCCCAGGGATCACTCCTGGCAGGGCTCCAGAGATCATATGTGGTGCCAGGGATCAAATCTGGGTCTACTGAATGCAAGGCAAAAGTAAGACAGCTGCACAGTCCATTTGCTAAATTTGGTAGACTAATGGAGGGGAAAAAGTCTCCTGTTTTGGAGGCTTCTCTCATTTATTTATTTCTTTATAAATTCCCCCAAATGGCACCCCCCAACATGACCATTCTAGTTGCTAAGCATTTCTGCTTACCCGTCCTGAGTTAAGTGTATTCCATATGTAGTCTCGTAACTTCTCATCTGACACATCTTTGCCTACTTCCTTCTGTAGTTGTGTCAGCCAAACGAGCACTTCCTATGGGTAAGAGAGAGTCAATAGTAGACCAGTAGAGGTTGTCAAGTCACAAACACAGGAGGGAATAATAAAAACAAAAAGCAGATAAAGGGAAAAAGTAGTCTTACCTGGTTTGCCAGTCCATGTAGGGGCCCCGCCAGCCCGTTCATAGATGCTGCAAAGGACAGGTAAGGGTCTGAAAGGGCACTGCCCACAAGGTGGCTGGTATGGGCACTTACATTGCCACCCTCGTGGTCACTATGGAAAGAAAGGAAGAATTAAAGGAAGATAAAGAAAAAGGGGCAATTACAAAATACAAATCTTTTTGTCTTGTTATATACTAGTTATGTTTCCCTATCATACTGGCCCATACCCAAAGATGGTCTAATCTCATTGCTGGATTGCTCACTAACCCAGACTAAGAAGTTACTGGCTGATGATGCCTATGTTTCAAGCTTCCTGACTCTGCATTTTTTTTTTGTTTTTGGGTCACACCCAGCGATGCTCAGGAGTTACTCCTGGCTCTGCACTCAGGAATCACTCCTGGAGGTGCTGGGGGACCATATGCGATGCCAGGGATCGAAGCTGGGTCAGCCACGTGCAAGGCAAACGCCCTACCCGCTGTACTATAGCTCTGGCCCCTCTCCAGCTTTTTAAAAACAAATTTTATTTTAAAAAGGGTTTATTTTTTGGGGGGGTGGGGTGCCATATCTGACAGACTCAGGGTTTATTCCTGGCTATACACTCAAGGGTTACTCCTGGTAGGCTTCAGGGACCTTATGGGGTACCAGGGATTGAACCTGGTTTGATCACATGCAAGGAAAGTGAATTACCCGCTGTACTATGGCTCTGCTCTCGCCCTCACTCCAACTTGTTTAACGTCTTTCTGGGCACATCTAGGAGTGCTATGGGCTACTCGTAGCTCTCAAACCAGCTTTAATAAGAATGGCCATAAGAGGGAGCTCCTGGAAAAGTTGAGAGTACCAAGCCTGCCAGGCTCCAGGCTTTTCCAACTGTAAGCCCGACACTGGTGCTATGTAATTTCCCTGCACCTCCGGTTCTTTACCAATGTATCAGCGACTATGCTGTGCTTCCAACTACCTGCTCTCAGAATGTGACAATGTTATCCTAAAACTTGTAGAATTTTAGGCTCTTGCCTTCAAGTTTCCCCACCAATCCAGGCGCCTGGTGGGTGTGGCTGCTGGGTCTAGCTCACCTGTGGATGGTGAGGTACAAGCGCATGAGCTCAGTGAATTTAGCATCGGTATAGCCTAACATGTTGGTGAAATTGTGGGACCAGTCCAGCTTAGAGTCAATGGCCCCAATGCTGCTGCCCTCCCGGTAAAGATTTCGGTAAATCTTTGCTGCAACACAAGGTAGCTTTGCGATCAGATCCATACAGTCTTCGTAAACCAACTAATAGGGAGAAGAGAAAGAGAAAAAAACAGAAACAATAATCAGTAAAGAATTACTCAGATCGGACGCCCATGCTGTCTATCTTCCATGGCCTATTTGGGTCAGTGGTCACATAAAAGAAAATAGTAACAGTATCTACTTAACCATTATCCAAACACTGTACTATGTGAATTACACATAACATCTCGTAAGATTAGAACTTATTCCCATGAGCTTGGTCCCTAGTATACAGAAAATCCCAAAGACACTGTTTCTAACTTTCATCACTATAAAGTTGGGGGAATGCTAAGAGGCTATTTCTTGGGTCTGTGCTCAGGTTCTATGGTGGTGCTCGGGGCATAGGTGGTGTTGAGGTCTGAACCAGACTTGGGGGAATGCACGGCAAGTACCATAACCCTTATACCATCTCTCTGGCCCCAGATTTTTCTTTTTTTGGGGTAATGTTTGGGGACTCTTTGGGGTAGCTCATGGTGCTGGGGTTAATTAAACTCAGCGCCTTATGCTCTCTACCAGGAACCCCTTAAGTCAGATTTTATTTTGGGTTACTCCTGGTGCTGCTTGGGGGACCATCAGGATGCTGGATATTGAACCTGGTCGGCTGCGTGCAAGGCAAGTGCCCTGCACACTATACTCTATCTCCAGCCCCTGAAAGCCAGATTTTGAACCCCTTTAAGTTCAGAATGCTTTCTTCATAGTGTGACATAACAGTGCAGTCAATGAATGTTCTAAGACAGCTAAATTTTTCTGATTGCTTTTGCCTTCAGGCCACACCAGCAGTGCTTGGGGGCAATGCTAGGCCTGAACTCAGGCTTTGGCACAGAAAGCACGCACTCAGCCTACTGCAATCTCTCTGGCCTGAAGCTGTTTTAATTCTCTATCCTTTTCTCTTTTTTTTTGGCTTTTGGGCCACACACAGTGGTGGTTGGTTAAGGTCTACTCATCACTTACTTGGCGCTCAGGGGTTATTCCTGGCAGTGCTGGTAACAACATGTGTCAGGTATCAAACTAGGCCTCCTGTATGCAAGATGCCTGATAGCCCAAATTTTGTAGATTTTGGGCCATACCCGGCCGCACTCAGGGCTTTACTTCTGGCTCTGACTCTGGGATTATTCCTGGCAGGCTCAGGGGGCCATATGGAATGCTGGCGGTAGAACCCAGGACGGCCACATGCAATAAAACAACCTACTCACTGTATTATCACTAGGTCCCAATTAACCCATATTTAAATTCACTTATCTTTTTTTTTTGTTTGGGGTCATACCAGCTACGATCAGGGGACCATTTGGTGCTAAGAACTGAACCAAGGGCCTTACACATTCAAATACTGTATCACTGAGCCACATCCTTGGCCTCTTACATCTTAGCTTTCAAAGACAATTCTCTATATATGCTAAGAGTCAAAGAGTGACTTTCAATTTTACTTTGGGCCAGACAGTACAAAGATTAAGTGCTTACCTTGCATGCAGCTAACCTGGGTTTGATCCCTAGCACCCAATAAGGCCCCCCAAGAACCTCCAGGAGTGATCACTGAACTGAATCAGGAGTAAGTCCTGAGCACTGCCAGGTGTGGCCCAAAAACCAAAGAAACAAAAAATATCCCAGAGATTACATCTTTTTCTTTTTCTGGTAACAAAAGTTAAACTCAGGACTTGCTCTTCAAAGTTCTCCTTTGAACATGTATCTTTGAATCTCATAAGTCTGTTTTTTCCACTGGAGAAGTTTATTTTCTCTCTTGAACATTAATTCCTCTTCCCTTACCTCTAAGAAAATTGCATTCAATAAAAACTATCTTGCTTCACTAAAACCAAACGAAACCCAGGGACTCATGCTTCAGCACTACTGGGAAATGGACCCCCGCCACACAAATGCAAAGCATTCCCGGAAGCCCTTTGAGCTATCTCCCAGCTGAGTACTTCCTATTTAGAAGTACTATGTAATAGATATATGTACTAAATGTTAGTATACGCCTTTTATTTTTTCTGTTTAAATTTTATTTTTTGAGCCTATACCAAGTGGTAGTGAAGCAGGCAGGCAGCTAGCGAAAGGGCCCCGGGGCAGTAAGTTCTAGAGAATAAAATCAACTAGCTCTAAGGCTTCCAGGACCCACCTTGAGAACATCTGAGCTGAGCTCTGATAACATCTTTACTGGCACCAGAACAAACCCAGAAGGCTGGCCCTCACCTCTGAGAGAAGCTCTTCTGGAGCAGGAACAAAGGCCAGGTCGGAATGAATGTCAAAGAAGACCCATCAACCGCTTCTAACTCTTCCCTTTGGCAACCTCCCAAGCCAAGGGACTCTTACCCTTGGAAGGAAAGGTAGGAAGCCCTTGTGGGGAAACTCAGGAGAAACCCTATAAAAGCCAACCCGGAACAAAGGAGGTCTGCACATATGCTGCCCATTGCATGTGTGTTGCCAGCCCATGCACTCGTGCTGAGCACATGCTGTCCACACCTCCCCTCTGGAGATGTGCTCTTTCATACTCTCAATGCTGGGATGTGTACTGGTGCTCTCTCTCCATTCTGGAGAAGCCCATGTTCTCTTGAGCACATTACTCCCCTTCCTCAGAGTCTCCAAATAAAATCTATTTTTACCTCACTGCTTGTCTCCTTAAATTCTTTTCTGAGGGAAAAGGTGAGGACCCAACAGGCCTGGGTATGGTCTAGAACTTTCTTTTCCTGCAGATTTTCGAGAAAGTCTTGCCATCATCTCTCTTCTCCGCACTTCACATAAGTCCCCTGGGGCACCACCAGCACCAGTAGCAACAGGGACAGACAGGGAGACATACTGGGGATGGGAACCCAGGACCTTGCATACATGCTACCATTTGTGGTACATCTGCTCTCCTTCCTGTGTTTTCTTACAATAATTCTGTAAAGTAATATAGCCCTCATTTTACAAATGTGGAAGTTGGGGCTTGGCCAAGTTAAGGAATTTAGCACAGTTCTACCCATACAGCTAAATAAATAACCTCTAGGGCCAGAAAAGAAGCTCAATGAACTGAGCACATAGATTGTGTGGAGGCAGCCCCAGTTTTACTCCTGGTACCATGTGGTCCCCGAGCACTACCAGGGTGACCGCCAAATACAAATAAAAACCTACACAATATGTTCTGCTTTCCCCTGCAGTTCCTGGTACAGAAAAAGCACAGAATAAATACTTGCTGATTGGTATTACATAGTGCCATTATATCAAGCAGGTTAATGCGCTTCCAAGAAGTCACAAGGGTGCTGGAGAGAGTAGAGCCAGTAGACACAGTTCAAGCCCCAGCACCCCATGTTCCCCCGATTCCCACCAGCAGTAATCCCTGAGCAGAGAGCCAGAATGATCCCTGAGTACCACTGGAAATGGCTGAAAAAACCCCAAAGGTACAAGGTTGGGGTTGGAGGGAAAACAGCAGGTAGGGCACTGGCCTTGCATTTGGCTGACCAGAGTTCAATCCCTGGCACCACCTATGGCCCCTCAAGCATTACTAAAAATGATCCAGAAGTGCAAAACCAGGAAGAGGAAGCCCTGAGCATCACTGGGTGTTGCCCCAAAACAAACAACAAACACAGCAAAAAAAAAATTGTCAAGAGTTCACTAGTTACACTGAAACAAAAAAAGGAAATTAAAACAAAACAAAACAAAAAAACAAAAAAAGAAGGCTAGAGAGATAGTACAGAGGGTATGGCACTGGCTTTGCAAATGGCCAGCCCAGGTTCAATCCCTGGCACCCATATGGTCATGCCCCCAACCCCCCTACAAAACACAAAAACAGGGGCTGGAGCGATAGCACAGCGGGTAGGGCGTTTGCCTTGCACACAGCCAACATGGTCGACACAGGTTCGATTCCCAGCACCCCATATGGTCCTCCAAGCACCGCCAGGAGCTAAGCCCTGAGCATCAGCGGGTGTGACCCAAAAAAAAAAAACCTAAAACAAAAACACAAAAACAACACAGAGACAGTACAGGGGTAAAGTCACTTGCCCTGTACACAGCTGACCCCAGTTCCAATCCCTAGCACCGCAAAGAGCCAAGAACAAGTTCCGAGAACCACTGGGTGGGATGCCACTCTCTCCACCTTTCTCCCCCCACTGGGAAACCTATGGTAATTAATCTAAACGAGTTAATTTCCATGAAATCAGTGAAATACTCAATTTTGTCAATGCTACTTAAAAGAGTGTCAAAAGGGGGCTGGAGCAACAGCACAGTGAGTAGGGTGTTTGCCTTGCACTCAGCCAACCTGGGTTCGTTTCCCAGCATCCCATATGGTCCCCTGAGCACCGCCAGGGGTAATTCCTGAGTGCAGAGCCAGAAGTAACCCCTGTGCATTGCCAGGTGTGACCTTACTGGGGTTTTTGGCGGTGGAGAATGGGCACTGGTGAAGGTACGGGTGTTTCATTGTATGACCGAGACTTAGACCCAAAAGCTTTGTAACTGCTCTCACGGTGATTCAATAAATAAAATTATAAAAAAAAAAAAAGTAAGGTGGAGTTCATGCACAATTCAATCAGCTAATCAGTGGCTGAATAAATAGCAGTACTCCTACAAAAAAACAAAAAACAAAAAACAAGAGTGTCAAAATAAAAGGCAACTGAAACACTTGCAAGTTCTCAGATTACTTGTCTAAAAATCATGGTATTAAATGTACCTACTTGCAGATTTACACCCCAATGAAGTAGGTCACTTTGAGAAGCCCTAAGGGACCTGGAGAGTGATTAACAAAATAACAAGAACAGGATCCCAAGCTAAGGATCTGTGGAGTGTATACTTTGAAAATCACTTGGGAAGTAGAAGTGGTCATCTTAAGCTTCAAGGAAGATTATTTCATCCTTTTCTACCATTGAAGATAAAAGCTTACAAAGCAACAAATATCAGACAAGATGAGCCAGAGTGGCATACAGTGGATAGTTCATTTGCTTTGCATGCAGCTAACCTGGATTTGATCCCCAGGACCCCATATGGTCCACTGAGCACTGTCACGAATGATCCCTGAGTACCACTCAGCGTGGCCAAAATCAAAAACCATGCTCAAAAGGCTGGACTGCATACCTTGCATACTCCAGCTCCTGTGTTTGATCCTTGGCACTATATGCTCACCCAGGGCCCCAGTTAAAAGAAATTCTTTTCTTTTATTTTTTCTTTTATTTTTCTTTTTATTCCTATAGCCATCACACCCGTCTAGGATAATGGTAAACAAAACTGGACAGAATCATCATTTTGTGATACCTGATTTTGTTTTGTTTTTGTTTGTTCTGGGGCTATATCCAGTGGTTTTCAGTACTAGTTCTTGGCTCTGCATCCCTCCTATTCCTCCACATCTACTGTTGGTAAATTTCTGGCAATAATATAATATAATATAAAGAAAAAGGAGATGGGGGTGAGGAGACAGAAAAGAAACTGGTATTAATGAAGACACTGAAGCAAACACAAACTTAAATCTGTCTCTAGAGCCAAAGAAATGGCCTTTGTGCTGCTTGTGCCCACATGGCCGAGCACATGCATCTCCCCTCTTGAGATGTGTACTTTCATGATTCCGTATCTAATGCTGGGGTGTGTGTAGGGGCTCGTCCCTCCTGGGAGAACCTTCCTCCCTCCCTTCCTTCCTTCCTTCCTCCTTCCCCTCCTCCCTTCTTTCCCTCCCTCATTCCTTTTCCTAAAACCTCCAAATAAAATTTATTTTTAAAATAAAAAACAAAACAAAACAAAAACAACCAAGAAATAGCTCAAGGCTGAGTTCATGCTTTTGCACACAGGGAAGGATGCTGGAATTGGTTAGGGTTTTTTTGGGCCATATGTGGTAGTGCTCTGGGCTTCCTCCTGGCAGGCTTAGAGTACTATATAGAGTGCCAGGGATCGAACCTTGGAGAGGAGAGTAGAGGCAAGTGCCCTAACCACTGTACTATCTCTCCGGCCCACAACAACAAAATTTAAAGTCATATTTTAAAAATTTTTTGGTTTTTGGCCACATCCAGTGATGGCTCAAGGGTTATTCCTGACCCTGAACTCAAGAATTATTCCTAGTGGTGCTCAGGGATGCTGGAGATTGAATCTGGGTCATCTGAATGCAAAGCAAGCACCCTAACCTCTGTACATCTCTTAGCCCCAACACACTGATCCCTGGCTCTATGTTCATCATCACAATTGTCTAAGATAAAGGTGAACTGAACTGGAAAGAATCATCAGCTGAAGTGACCTGGGGTTTTGTTAATTTGTTTATTTTGTTCTAAGGCACACCCAGCAGTTCTTAGGACTTAATCTTATTGGTCTTTGCATCCCGCTAAGCCCCCCATTTCCATTGCTAATAAATTTCTAACAATTAACTTTTATTTTTTTCTTTTTGGGTCACACCTGGCGATGCACAGGGGTTACTCCTGGCTCTGCACTCAGGAGTTACTCCTGGCGGTGCTCAGGGGACCATATGGGATGCTGGGAACTGAACCCAGGTTCGCCGTGTGCAAGGCAAACGCCCTCCCAACTGTGCTATCTCTCCAGCCCCTTAATTAACTATTAATTATTATTGAGAAGATAGAGAAAAACGGGATGGGGACAGGCCGGTGAGGAGACAGAAAGAGACTGGGTATTAATGAAAAAACAGAAACAAACTCAAACTTACATCTGCCTCTAGGGTCAACTAAAGAGCTCAAGAGGTTTCGCACATGCTTTGCATAGAGAAAACTGGAATTTGCTTTTTGGGTCTTACACAGCGGTGCTCAGGGCTTCCTCCTGCTTCTGCAAGTCAGGATCACACCTGGCGGGCTGGACCAGACTGTCAGGGATTGAACCTGGGTAGGCAGCATCCACGGCAAATGCCCTCTGTTCTATACTACCTCTCCAGCCTGGTCACATTTCCTTTTTGGAAAATAAAACTCATTTGTTTCTGGACCTACTTCCAGGATACGAATCACCTTTCTGCTCCAGCCAGGTATCTTGAATGGGTTAGCACTGTCAGCTAGCTGTCAACCAGTTTTAAACTTGAGTTGCCGGGGCTGGAGTGATAGATCAGCGGGTAGGGCGTTTGCCTTGCACGTGGCCGACCCAGGTTCGATTCCCAGCATTCCATATGGTCCCCTGAGCGCAGAGCCAGGAGTAACTGTGCATTGCTGGGTGTGACCCAAAAAGCAAAAAAAAAAAAAAAAAAAAAAAAAAAAAAACCACTTGAGTTGCCTTACCTACCAACTGCCCGACTTAGATTTTGCAAGGTTCTGCTTTTCTGAAAAAGATATCCTTTTAGATTACAGTACGACTACCTGGAAATCTCCTTTAGGGACCCCGCTGTGATGTCATATCCTTTTTAATGTTCTAATAGATGTTGTCTACCTCTATTACAGTAAGACTAAATGACAGTTTCTTGACCTATTTATCACCCCAGTGAACTAATCACCTTGCTTCACTGAGCTTAAAAAAACTGTGCTTTTAGAAAAGATGAAGTCATGAAATTTACATACAAGTGGTACAACATGGAAAGTATCATGCTAAGCGAAATGAGTCAGAAAGAGAGGGATAGACATAGAAAGATTGCATTCATCTGGGGGACATAAAGTAACAAAATATGAGATTAATACCCAAGAATAGCTGAGATCAGCACCAGAAGGATTACTCCATAGCTTAGTGGCCAGTCGGGCATTCTAGATCTAGAGGAAAGGGCAGCTCAGATAGAGAAGGGAGCACCAAATAAAGGGTGTTTGGAGGATCCTCCCAGGAGGGGAGATGCATGTCGAAAGTGGACTATGGACTGAACATGTTTGCCACTCAATGCCTCTTTTGCAGACCACAACACCCAAAAGGAGAGAGAGAACACAGGGGATTGCCCTGCCACAGAGGCAGGGGGGGTTGGGGGGATGGGGGGGATATTATCCATGGTGGTGGAAAATGGGCACTGGTGGAGGGATGGGTATCTGATCATTGTATAATCAAACCCAAGCACAAAAAATTGTAAATCTACAACTGTACCTCATGGTGTTTCACTAATTAAAAAAAAAAAATTAAAAAAAAAAAACCTGTGCTTTTTATCTTCGTAATCTCAATGGGTAACCATAAAATAAACAAAATGCCAGATAAAAATGTATGATTAAAAAGCTGTGCTGTTTAACTTTGTAATCTCAATGGTTGATCATACATAAAAGGAAGTGACTTTCTTTTCTTTAAAAATTTTGTTTTTTTTCTTTCTGGGTCACACCTAGTGATGCACAGGGGTTACTCCTGACTCTGCACTCAGGAACTACCCCTGGCGGTGCTCAGGGAACCATATGGGATGCTGGGAATCGAACCTGGGTCGGCTGCGTGCAAGGCAAATGCCCTACCCACTGTGCTATTGCTCCAGCCATATCTTTTCTTTAAAATATGGAACGCTTCACGAATGTGTCATCTTTGCACAGGGGCCATGCTAATCTTCTCTGTATCATTCCAATTTTAGTATATGTGCTGTCAAGCGAACACGGAAGTGACTTTCTTAAAGATCCTATATTCCTTTTAGTTTTCTTACACTCTAGGCAACTGCTATGTATTTCTGCTTCTTTGGTGCTGGGCTAAAACCAAGGGCCTTACACATATGAAATGTACTCTACCACTAAGCTACCCCCAGCTCACACTCAAGTTTTTTGAATCTCTGTCACAAATCACCTACCTCCCAGTACTTGGTTCGGTGGACACCCTCTGCGTATGCCCGAGCAAAATTACTTTCACTGTTGAGGGCTGTAATGGCTGCACTGAGTTGAGACATGGGATGTAGATTATTGGGAAAGTTGTCCAACATGGTCACAACATGGGAAGGCAGAGCTGCCCTTTTCGCCCACTCTTTTGAGAGCCAAGATACCTGTGGAAAGGGAAACATTGCTTAGAACACTAGGTAGAAAGAGAAATAAACAGTAACATTCAAGTTAAGAAAATCCAAGAGAATTCAATCCAATATACTAATACAGCAGAACTATGATTCCCTCCACCCATTGCTATAAACTACTTCCATAGGCTGATCAGAGTTAAGTGTGTAAGATCAGAGAAGGACAAAAAAGAAGAGAAGGAAAGAGCCAATATTCTTATACTTTACCTGTTCTTCTGTTGGGATTTTTCCTGTTACAAGCAGCCAAAATAAGCCCTCAGGCAAGGGTTCTTCCCCACCCTTAGCCTTGGGCAGCAGCTTTTGGCATTCAGGGATACTGTAGCCTCTGAAGCGGATACCCTTAAAAGAGAAAAGTGAAAATGACAGATTTATTAACCTGGAAATAAAGTCATTACCGGGTCTTAACTTTTGTTGTTTTGGGACCACAACTGGAGGTACTTAGGGTTTACTCCTGGCTCTGCACTCCTAGGAGGCTCAAGGGACTTTATGAGATGCCAGAGATTGAGCCCTCGTCAGCTATGTGCAAGGCAAATGCCCTATGCACCGCATTATCACTCTGGACCCAACTTCTCAGACTTTTATTCCTACACCATGTTAACTTTTTTTTTGCGGGGTGGGTGGAGGGAGGACTAGAGCCATACCTGGCAACGCTCAGAAGTAACTGGCAGTGTTCAGGGGACCACATGAGATGCTGGGAATCAAACCCAGGCTGGTCGTGTACAAGGCAAATGCCTGACCTGCTGCACGATCACTCCAGTACCAAGTCAACCATTTTCTTTTCTTTTCTTTTCTTTCTTTTTGCTTTTTGGGTCACACCCGGCAATGCAGAGGGGTTACTCCTGGCTCTGCACTCAGGGGACCATATGGGATGCTGGGAATCGAACCTGGGTGAGCAGCGTGCAAGGCAAACGCCTTACCTGCTGTGCTATCACTCCAGCCCCGAGTTAAATAAGTAACTTTTAAAGCTTAATCTTAACTATTTCTTTATAATATTAGTTTTACTAGTTGATATATTTTAAAAAGTTAGGTCTTTTGGGGGAGCGGGGTGGTGTTTGGGTAACACTTGGCAATGCTCAGGGGTTATTTCTAGCTCTGCACTCAGGAATCACTCCTGGCGGTGCTTGGGAAACCATATGGAATGCTGGGAATCAAACCGGGGTAGGCTGCATGCAAGGCAAATGCCCTATCTGTTGTATTATTACTCCGGCCCCAGTTAGCTCCTTTTTCATTCCTTAGTTTCCATCTTCCAAAGTAAGATGCTAAGGTGCTTGATTATGTTCTCCTTACCCTTACTTGCTTCCCCCCCACCTTCTCTTTTTGGGTCACATCTGGCGATGCACTGGGGTTACTCCTGGCTCATGCACTCAGGAACTACTCCTGGCGGTGTTCGGGGGACCATATGGGATGCTGGGAATCGAACCTGGGATGCTAGGCAAACACCCTACCCGCTGTGTATCATTCCAGCCCCTACCCTTACTTGCTTGGTCTATCCTGTGTCCAACAGTCAAATCAATGATTATCAGCAACTGACACGAAGATCTCTTACCTCATCAGGATCAAGAACTGACGTTTCATATACCAATCCCTTCATGCCTCTCATGCCACCATACATCTGGATGGGGAAAAAGTGGGTTTTTATTGGGTGGTACCAGTTACTCAAGCCAGGCTTAAGTGTTATGACCTAGCTACATCCCCAACCCTGTGCCACCAAACATTGAAAGAAAAGAATACGCAGCTAGCTGGCAAAACAATTCAGGCTAGAACTTGTTCTTCATGGGATCTGGGAGAAGAAATGGAGGAAATGTGTTCTGACATGCAATAGTTCATTTCAGAGAAAATTTCTGCTACGTTCAAAGAATTTCTGAAAAGTACCATAGAATGATGCTTAAGAAACAAAAATTTTACATTGAGAAGTCACTGAGTCACATCTCTGGGTCCCTTTCTGTCCACTCTCACCCCAAATAAATAGACTACTATGTATCTCCATCAGGAGAAGGAAAGAGAGTGCCTTTTGGTCTTATGGTAGACGAGGAATTATCACCTGTGCTGTTTAGGCTCTTACGATGGGAAAAAATCATCTTAAAGCCACTCTAACTGGATAACTTAGCATCAACTCAAACCTGGGTGTGAGCCTTGATCCTAAGAGCTGAGAGGCAGGGAACACAAATAGAAACCTCATCCCTCCTCCTAAATTAGGTTAAGCACAACGATTTAGAAGAGAAGAGTTTAGTTTCTAATGACCAGCATAAGTGCCAACATTTCCTTGTATGGAACAGAACCAACCCCCTACACCACTTACCATATCAACAGTGATTTGGCCCACCACTGTCTTGCCATGTTGCTGTCTGAAGTTTTTAATTCTGGCCTGTTCCTTAGGTATCAGGTCAGACAATACATCTTTCAAATTCTAAAACAGAGAAGTAGATGAAGATTAATTAGAGGGCTCGAGAGCTGATACAGTAGGTAAGATACAACCCTTGCACACACTGACTGGGTTCAATCCCCACTACTATGCAGTGATACCCTGATACCCTTAATAAGAATGATCCCTGAGTGCAGAGCCAGGAGTAAGGCCTGAACACTGTTGAGTGGGCCCCAAGACCAAAGAGGGCCGTGGGTAGGGATGTTCATTAGATTTCCTACAAAATGTGCACATGTGCATATACGTGTTTACATGTAACACTTCCTTTGTTTTTGTTTGGTTTTGCTTTTTGGGTCACACCCAGCAATGCACAGGGGTTATTCCTGGTTCTGCACTCAAGAATTACTCCTGGCGGTGCTTGGGGGACCATATGAGATGCTGGGAATCGAACCCAGGTTGGCTGCGTGCAAGGCAAATGCCCTATCTGCTGTGCTATCGCTCCAGTCCCTCCAGCCTTATAACTTTTACCTGCCAGGAAAATCTGGTACAGATGAGGTAAAAGAATTAGGTTTTGTGGGTGGAACACATAGTACAGGGTAAGGTGCTTGCTTTGCAAGCTGCCAACCCGTCTGAATCCCTGACAATGCATAAGGTCCCTCAGTACCACTAGAAGTAAACTCTGAGCACAGTCAGATGTGTGCCCCCAAATTTTGGCAGACAAGGGAAAAAGGGATTGGCATGAAAAGTTATTCATAGTTTCAATTGGGAAAATAAAAAATCCTGAAAACTGAGTGGAAATGTCTGCACAATACTATAACTATAGTTACTGAATAACACACGATTAGAGGGTCAGGGAGCTAGTTCAGCAGGTAGGATGCCTGCCTTGCATATGGTCCACCCAGGTTTGATTCCCAATATCTCATATTGTCCCCCAAGTGATCCCTGAGCACAGAGCCAGGAGTAACCCCTGAGCACAGCTGGGTATAACCCTCATCCTCCAAAAAGCACACAAAAAGTTGTGCTGGGGTAATATTACAGCGGGTAGGGCTCTTCCCTTGTACCTGGATGACTCAGGTTCAATGCCCTGAATTACTTGTGGTCTTCCGGGCCCTGCCAGGAATGATTTATGGACGCAGAGCCAAGAGTATTCCCTGAGCATCGCTGGGTGTGCCCCCAAAATAGAAAACAGTTAAGGGACTAGAAAGATAGCACAGTGGGTAAGGCGCTTGCCCTGCATGGAACTAATCCAAATTTGCTCTCTGGCAACCAATATGGTCCCGAGCTCCACCAGGAGATTCCTGAACACAGAGTCAGGAGTAAGCCCTGAACACTGTCAGGTGTTCCCCCAATCTCCCCCACAAAAAAACAAAAATAAAAATGATAATGAAAACAAAATAACTGGGGGGGGCAGTACAGTGTGTAGGGTGACTGCCCTGTATGCAGCCCCACCCAGGTTTGATACCCACCAGTCACCCCAATGGTACTCGAAGCACCATCAGGAGTAATCCCTGAGCACCCATGGGTGTAGCCCAAAAACCAAAATAAATTTAAAAAATATAGTTAAAATGGTTAAGTTTTATACCAATTCACAATCTTGAAAAATGAGGCAAAATTTGCTTCCTGTTCACTCTGTATTGTGTGTGTGTGATCCCCAGTGGTCCTTGGGGTTCTGGAGATAGCAATACTCAACCTGAAAATTTACACTTTGGCCTACTGTTGGTGGGGGGCCAGAGCTACACATGGTGGTGCTGGGGTGGGGTGGGGTGAGGCAGCCTTACTATGCTGAGAATCAAACTCAAGAGATTTTGTACATGCAAGGCATGTGCTCTACCCCTTTAAACTATGTGCCCAGTTCCGAATACATTTCTCAAGGTAATAGTAGTGATGGCTATACAACAAAGAGCACTACTGGAAAATACTTATTGTACAATGAGGCTGGGCTGGAGCAATAGCAGAGGGGTAGGGCGTTTGCCTTACAAGCAGCCAACATGGCCGACCTGAGTTCAATTTCTCCACCCCTCTCGGAGAGCCGGGCAAGCTACCGAGAGTATTTCGCCCGCATGGCAGAGCCTGGCAAGCTACCCATGATGTATTCGATATGCCAAACACAGTAACAACAAGTCTCATGATGGAGACGTTACTGGGCCCTCTCGAGCAAATCGATGAACAACGGGAGGACAGTGACAGTGACAATGAGGCTAGGTAGTCAATCTCCACCCCCCGACCCCTGGACCAAGGGTTAGGCTGTCTTAATTTTTGTCAGTTCTCTCTCTCTCTCTTTAAATTTTTATTAGTGAAACACCATGAGGTAGAGTTGTAGACTTACAAATTTTTGTGCCTGGGTTTCAATTATACAATGATTGAGTACCCATCCCTCCACCAGTGCCCATTTCCCACCACCGCTGATCCCAGTATCCCTCCCACCCTCCTTTCCCCCATTCCCTCCGGCGTCTGTGGCAGGGCATTCTCTTTTGTTCCCTCTCTCCCTTTGGGTGCTGTGGTTTGCAAAAGAGGCATTGAGTGGCAACCATGTTCGGTCTATAGTCTACTTTCAGCATGCATCTCCCATCTGGGAGGATCCTCCCAACACCTTTATTTGGTGCTCCCTTCTCTATTTGAGCTGCCTTTCCCCCTAGCATGTGCAGCTGGCCTCCAAGTCATGAAGTGAACCTCCTGGTACTTATCTAAGCTATTCTTGGGTGTTAATCACCTATTTTGTTACTTTATGTTCCCCAGATGAATGCAATCTTTCTATGTCTATCCCTTTCTTTCTGAGTCATTTCGCTTAGCATGATACTTTCCATGTTGTACCACTTGTATGTAAATTTCATGACTTCATCTTTTCTAACAGCTACATAGTACTCCATTGTAGATGTACCAAAGTTTCTTTAACCAGCCATCTGTTCTCAGGCATTCAGGTTTTTTCCAGATTCTAGCTATTGTAAACAGTGCTGCAATAAACAAGCAAGTGCAGATATCACTTCCACTATACTTTTCCAACAGGGCTGAATCAGTCGACACTCCAAATATTCTCAGTTCTCTTTTCCAAGCCTTACCACAGAGGAAGCACTGGCATGCCGGGCAGCAACAACAAGACAGGAAGCATTCTGGGGAAAAAAAAAAAGAAAAAAATCAAATGCAATAGTTATTCCTTCCTATCTATTCGTAAGAAATAGTTGCAATGACCCAAATTCTTTTTATCGTAGCCAAAGAACCCTGGCTAACTTTATGAAAACTGACTTATCTGAAAGTTTATGAAAGGCCTTGGGCAACTTGTAAGGTACCAGTGTGGAGTTAGACATAGGTTTAACTCTGCTTTTTGTATCTCTAACTTCATTAAGCATCCCCTGAGGTCTGTCCCATCCTCTGGGTTGCAGGGGTGAGCTTTTTTTGTTTTGTTTTGCTTTTTGGGTCACACCTGGCAATGCTCAGGAGTCACTCCTGACTCTGCACTCAGGAATTACTCCTGGTGGTGCTGGAGTGGAGTAGGGGTGCCCACATGGGATGCCAGGGATCAAACCCAGGTTGGCAATCACCCTACCCGCTATACTATCACTAGGGGGTGTGGGCTTTACTATACTATCACTAGGGGGTGTGACCCAGGGACAGAGTTTCTCTGCTTGCTCCCACCAACCACAGGACGCTTTCCGGACCCGCGTGGGCTTTGTTAAACACAGAAAAAAAGGTTGGAGAGGGCACTGTTAAAAGAGTACCCAATCCAGGAGGCCAGAGTCATAGTACAGCAGGTAGGGCGTTTGCCTTGCACATGGCCAACTGGGTTCAATTCCTGGCATTTTATATGGTCCCCCCGGTCCCCCAGGAGTGACTGAGTGCAGGGTCACGAGAATACCCTGAGCACCACTGAGAATGGCCACAAAAAAAGAGTAACCAATCAAGGAACATCTACCTGTCATAAGTTCTGATGGTCTAGGAAGAAAACAAGGAAATAGATATAAAACTTAAGCCTAGAGGTAACATCTCTCTCCAGTACCTGTAACTTGGTACCACTTCCATCTTTCCAGCCTAGGAAAGCCACAAGTAGTGCCTTTTACAATGCAATCACAACCACTTGGGGATAAGCAAGAAGACAGACAGATCTACACAATGGAATAACTGACAAGACTACTCAAGAAAAAAGAGAAATAGAATTGTAAGTCTTTTTAAATTCACCCAAGTGAGACAAGGAAAATTAAAAATGAAATAAAGATATTCAGATAAGGCTGAAGATATAGTACAGAGGTCAAGATGCTTGCCATGCCTGCAGCTGACCATGATGCTTGACCCTCCTTACAACATATGATGCCTCAAGCAATGACCTGTACGGCTCCAAAACCAAAACAAGAAAGAAGTGTAGCTTGCTTATGTTTTCTGTTTGGAGGCAGGTACTTTTCCCCTAAATACTACTTTGTTCTCTTCCCTTTGAGGCAATCACTGAAGACGAATCCCTTTTAACCTTTGACTAGTTCATTAAAAAGCAGTTCAATGTACCTTCCCACATTCACAGGAAAATGATGCTTCCCCTCTTCAAAAAACTGAGGCAGAAGCGCAATGTACAATTTATGTCCATCTAAAAGGATAATGAGGGGCTGGAGCGATAACACAGCAGGTAGGGCGTTTGCCTTGCACGCGGCCGACCCGGGTTTAATTCCCAGCATCCCATATAGTCCCCTGAGCACCACCGGGGTGATACCTTAGTGGAGAGTCAGGAGTAATCCCTGTGCATTGCCAGGTGTGACCCAAAAAGAAAAAAAAAAAGGATAATGAAATTCAGGTTGTGCAAGGCCACCACGAGTCAGAAAATTGGCAAAACAGTCCAGGTTTACGAGAAGAAACATGTGACCTACACTGAACAAGTGCAGCAGGAGGTGAATGGCACAACTGACCATGTGGACGTTCACCCTGGCAAGGCAGTTACCACAAGGCTGAAACTGGACAAAAGACTGCAAAGGATCCTTGAACATAAGCCAAATCTTGCCAAATAAGAAAGGAAAAGGGCTCGGGGCCGGAGCGATAGCACAGCGGGTAGGGCGTTTGCCTTGCACGTGGCTGACCCGGGTTTGATCCCCGGCATCCCATATGGTCACCTGAGTGCTGCCAGGAGTAATTCATGGACAAAGCCAGGAGTAACCCCTCAGCACTGCTGGGTGTGACCCAAAAAGGAAAAAGAGAGAGAGAGAGAGAGAAAACAAAGGAAAAGGGCTAACATAATAAACGAAGAGATGCAGGAATAGTAATTTTACAATTTTCATTGAAAACTACAGGGGGAGGGGCGGGCAGAGAAGTAGCACAGCAAGCAGGGAGCTATCCTTATATAGGGCTAACCTGGGTCCAATTCACCCAGCACCCCATATGATCCCCCAAGTCCTGAGCATTGCTGGGCACTGCCCCCCTCCCCCCAAAAAATAAATCAAATGAAAAAAAAAGAGAGAATGCAGAATAGCAGCAGGAAGTTCAACATTGCCTTTGTCTTCTTTTTCTTTTCTTTCTTTTTTTTTTTTGGCTTTTTGGGTCACACCTGGCGATGCACAGGGGCTACTCCTGGCTCGGCTCTCAGGAATTACCCCTGGTGGTACTCAGGGGACCATATGGGATCCTGGGAATCGAACCCGGATCGGCTGCATGCAAGGCAAACGCCCTACCCACTGTGCTATTGCTCCAGCCTCTGTCTTATTTTTCTTGAATTCTGGGACCACATCTGGTGATACTCAGGCTTACTCATGGTTCTATGCTCAGGGGCAGTGCTTGGGGGATCATACATGATATCAGGAAATAAACAATAAACTGGTGTTGACATTTGTACAACCAAGGTGCCTTAACCCCTGTACTACCTCCAGTCCCAATACTGACTTTGGGGGACAGCTCAACATGAACACATGTACTGCATGTGGGAGACCTGGGTTTGAAATGATCCCCAGTAGCACATGGTCCCAAGAGCACCAATTTAGGCTAACTCCTGAAGTTTTGGGGACATGCCATAAAAACGAAAGTGAGGGGGAGGGGCAGAGAAAAAGAAAACCTGTTACATTAACTAGTTGTAATAACTTGAACAAGGAGGTGCCTAACTTTTCTGCATTTTATTATTTTGAAGATAAAATTGTATCATCAAAGAAGCCTTGGTTTTCTCCTCTAGAAGGCCAGATTCCTTTTCTTTTCAAGCAAGATTTTTATTCAGGAGATGAGAGAGGGGAGAACGGTGAAAAAGGGAGGAATGGTAGCGAGGAGGGGAGTAGAGAAAATAAAGTTGGGGGTGGGAGAAATAATACAGCTGTTTGCCAAGTGTTTGAATCCCCAGCACCAGGAATGATCTCTATTCAGGGGCCACTCCTGAGCAGAGTCAAAAAGAGCTGGAGCTGGAGCAGTAGTAGAGGCGGTAGGACGCTTGCCTCACACACGGCCTACCTGGGTTCGATCTCCAGCATCCCATATGGTCAGTCCCCTTTGTACTTCCTGGAGTGATTCTTGAGTGCAGAGCTATGAGTACCTGGGTGCTGTGAACCCTCTTCCCTGCTCCCCTCATCCACCCAAAAGCAGAGAGAACATGGGCTTCTCCAGAAGACAGCCCAGAAACACCTAGAAAGTAACTGTTACATTGCTGACTGTATTAAAATTCACTGGAACCAACGGTACTGAAATCGGCCCCAATGGTTTTAAGAGTTGGATTTGAAACTGAAACCAGTGGGGCTAGAGAGAGAACACAGCAGGCAGGATGCTTACCTTGCAAATGGTCAACCCAGGTTTGATCCATGGCACCCCATATGATCCCCTGACCACTGCTAGGAGTGATCCCTGAGCACAGAGTAAGGAGTATGCCCTCAGCATGGCCAGGTGTAGCCCCCTCCTCAAAAAAAAAAAAATCCCACAAAAACTTGAAACTAGCAAACTCTTTTGGCCATGGGCTGCTGCAAGGGTAAACAATGTTTATCTTCCCTTATCTTGTGAACCCCCCACCTCACAAAGCCTATCAAAAATTTTCTGTTGGGGCCAGAGTGACAGTAGAGTGGGCAGGGCACTTGCTTTGCACATGGCCAATCTGGGTTTAATCCCTGGCACCCCACATGGTCCCCCAAGCAAACCAGAAGTGATCCCTGAGTGGAGAGCCGTGAGTACGCACTGATGAGCACTGTCAGTTGCGGCCCCAAAACATCACTTGACATGAAGCCCAGGTTTGAACAGGACACAGCATGGTCCCTGTAACACTACTAGAAGCAACATTAGAGCACTAAGGTAGAAGCTGATCCTGAACACTGCGACAAGTATGACACACCCAACCAAAAAGATTTACAGATATTTCAATGGGGGAGGCCACACTCAGTGGTGCTCAGGGTTTATGAGAAGACATGGGTCAGCCGCGTACAAGCCAAGTGCCCTACCTGCTGTATATACTTCTGAGCATGCTTCAGGTCACCTTGTACAGACCAGTCTGCAACCTGTTTTTTTTCTAAATACAGGCTTCTCCAATGGTAATTTGGGGGGGATGGGGGCGGGGTTGGGTCACACCCAGCTGTGCTCAGGGCTTACTCCTGGCAATGCTTGGGGACTATATACGGCACCGGCAATTGAACCCAGGTTAGTTGCTTGCAAGGAGTGATTCCTGTCAGTAAAGCACTAGCAAGACTGATCCCTGAGCCAGAGCCAGCGCCAGCAGTGAGCCCCAGCACCATGTGTGACTCCAAAAAAAAAAAAACAAGAAAAACATGCTATTTCAAATGACTGCTGGGTCAACCTGTACCTTCGGGGCAAGTGCATCTGCAGCCTGATGGTGCCTTCAGGCTTCCAGATACCCCAGGTCCCAACAACTTGGGACCAAGTTTACCAAGAAATTAAACGGCCAAAAGTAGGGTAAGTGGGACCATGCCCAAAAACCACCTCTGGTTCAGCTATAAAGCTCATTTATTGGTTTTATTTCAGAGACCCATAAATAAATCTCAGGGGCTAGAGCGATAGCACAGCGAGCAGGGCATTTGCCTTGCACGTGTTTGACCTGGGTTTGATTCCCAGCATCCCATATGGTCTCCTGAGCACTACCAGGAGTAATTCCTGAGTGCATGAGCCAGGAGTAACCCCTGTGCATCGCTGGGCGTGACCCAAAAATCTCAAAAGCCACAAC